ATGGATCCTTTTGATAGCTCCCTTGATCCTGTAGCTACTTTCAAAAGATGCGGTTAGTCGAGCGATTGTCTTTAGTCTGTTACAGCTTTGAGGTTTTTGTGTAATTTTCTAGCGACTACATTTTTGGTTGTAGGTGCTCTTCTTTTTATTGTGGATGCCCAAGACGAGTATGTGGATTCACTGAAGAAGATGTCCGAGAACTTCACACAGGCTTTTCGAATCAATCCAAATATCAAATTCGAAGTCTTCATACATAAGGTTAGGCCTGTTAGTTTTTTCCACAAAGGAAGGCGCGGCTACAGCAAGCAATTCAAGGTTAGACTGAGAAAGTTGATATTTGCATTGAACGAGCGTTTCAAGTTGATTGGGATCTTTCACGAAATTAGTCTACCCCCTATTTTCTCACAGATACTGGTTCTACTACACTTCAGCTAACAGCTCTATAAAGAGCAATGCAAATGAGCGAAACTTAGAAGACGTGAATAAACTGACCTGTACTTTTGCAATGTTGTTTTCACATTTGTGCGAAGATCACAGACAGACTAGCCAGTTGTGCTAGTTGTATGGTTCTGGTATAGGAGGATCTTAGTGATGCTGTGCATCGAAAGCCTTTGAACTGCGGTGAAGTTTTTTGTTTTGATGTTAAACTCCATTTTATAGGCTGATGGGTTGACTGAGGAGAGCAGAGTTGATGCACAGTATGATATCTATCACAGGGTTGGTTCTTGCTTTGCTTTGGTCCGCTTATTCTGTGCATTGCGCTGTTTTCAATTCTCATACAATTTGTATCACCGTTTTGTTTATTTTATGGTCATTTCAAGGTCAAATGTGAGCTTGCTGAGCAAGGACTTGAAGACTTCAATGTGACCTTTCATCTCACATCTATTTACGATCACTCTATCTTCGAAGCATTCTCGAAGGTTGTACAAAATCTTGTGAAACGACTACCTACTTTGGAGCGGTTACTCGATATTTTCAATCAGGTTGGCATCGCTGGTTTATAGTATGAAAATTTTCGATAGTATCACTTACGTTGAAATTGTGCTTCATTTCAGGGATCGAATGTGGAGAAATCGTTCTTGTTCGATGTTGCTTCAAAGATCTATATAGCTACCGACACTACACCTGTTGAAATGGCAGCTTATGAGTTATGCTGCGATATGATAGATGTTACAATAGACATATCTGGCATATATGGGTAAGTGCTGTTCGTTTGGGTGTTCCTTTGGTTTTTTTGTTGGTTTTGTTCTATGCTAAGTGATGGGCCTTTCTGCTTTTCAAAAGTTTTTTTTTGTTTCAATTCTTGCATAATACTGTTTACAAACGTCATCATGTACATCTTTATCAAATACATCGATGTGATATCATTTGAAGGAAATGAGAAGCGTTTTTATTTTTCCACATCTCACTTAGTTTTGTTTAAGAGCGAAAGAAAATGACGGTGAAGTGCAAAATCCTTTCGATGACAACTCTTATGCCGTCATACGGCTTAAGACTGATCAGGTGCGAGAGTTGTGTTTTTTTATTCCTCTTATACGTTATCTTCGGTTTTTCCGCCTCAAGCAATAGTTTCAAACAATTCAGGTGATGTTCCTTCGTCAGCTGAATAAACATCTTGCTTTAGTATGCGTTATAAGGGGTGAAAATTTTGAGAAACAAGGTCTGATAGATTACAACTTCAACTGCTTCAAAGAGGTGTGCTTTGAATAGATTCTGTTTCTTTACGACTTTTTGTTGGTACCGGTAGCTTGACTGCACTTTTAGGGCATTGAAAATGTGTTTATGGTTCGGAAGCAGATTCAGGAAGGATCGAAACATCATACTTGATGTAAAGAGCGACTCTAGATGTACAGTTGGAGATTTACTGACGAATTGTGATAGCCTTGCCTTACATTGTTTGACATTATCCTCTTCGATGCTTATTTGATTTGTGGTCCTGGTCCTTCCAACTCAACTGCACAGTTTTACCACATGCTTTGTACAACATTCTATCTTAC